TGGTGGATATAGTGAATTTCTCTTGGAGATAAGAGCAAGTGGAGTAGGAGGATTACACTATCTCCGAACCACTATAAATTGCCTTGTGTTCTTTACTGCTTTCTTTACTTACTGCTCTTGATTGCTTCTCACAAGAATAATCTTGACACAATATACACACACACACCGTATCGTTTATTATTTCCGCTGTGCACCAGACTCTAACAATCTAGTTAAGAGTCTTGGTTTCTCTGTTGCCTTAGCAATTGTTGTACTGTGCTAAAAAGTTTAAAAGTCTATTCACCCCCCCCCCCCCCCTATCTAGACTTGTACCTTATCTCTTTTGGGATCAACAAGATCACTAAACCAAATATGAAAAATATATGTCATAATATTGGGGATTGGAAGGTGGGATTGAGTCTAAATGAAATTTGCATAATCACACATGACTAGAGAATGCATAGTATCTTCATTCATGATCTCACACATGGCACAAGTATGATCAATTTCCACCCTCTTTATAATCAGATTTTTTGTGGTGGGGATGATATCATTCAATGCTCTCCATAAGAAGGTTTTCTATTTGGGGGGGGGGGGGGGGGGGGGGGATCTTGAGCCTCTATAGGCTGAGCTATTTATCAAAATTGCATGTCGTGTCCACATCATTCCCAACAATGCGCCTGTAGCCACTTTTTTTTTTTTTTTTTTTTTTTTTTTTTTTCTTTTTTGTAGTTACCTTTTAGATCTCCATGCCAGTACCAAGTATCCTCGTAGTCTGGTGATACTAGTATCTTTGAAACAATAACATAATACTTCTAAAAATCATCAGATCTGCATTCAACTATATATAACTATATATGAACATATAGAAAAACAGAGATAGTGATGTTTGCCAATTTGGAGGACTGTTACCATTAATTTGCCATTAAAATGTCACTACAAGAATGAAGACATTTAGTGACAAATATTTTGTGACACTTCGTAATTTAGTCACAAATAATATCATTTTTGTCACCAAAAAAATAATTCGACACTATTGTGTGGGATAATTGTGATAATTTTTTTTTCACGGATAATATGGAAATTGTGACAAGTAAGTATTTGTTACGAATAAATTGTCACTATTACTATAATTATAGTGTCGTAACATGCGTTGTCACTATTTGTTGTCACTAAATGTATGTGCATTTTGGCAACATTATAATTATGGCGGGAATGAATGTAATTGTGACAAAATATAATGTTGTCAAAAATTTTTATACTTTTTGTGACAAATAGTTGTTGGTCACTCTTGTTTATAATATTTGTGATAACTTTTTTTGTCAATAGAAATACAATTGGTTAGTACCATTAGAAATGAGAAACAATTGTGAGAAAGTTTACTTTTGTCACTAATATTGTTTTTTGTGATGAAATTGTTACAAAAATTTTTGACGCTCTATAATTCCGTAACAAAAATTACTAAATTGTGACAATAATTGCATTGACTTCAAGTTTTGTCACTAATGTTATGATAATTGTGATGAGTAATTATTTGTTATAGTGACTTTGTCATTATAACTAAATAGAAGAATATTGTGTGAAGTGCTGCAATTTGTTAGCTCATTCACTTGCTCAGACCACGAATTATCAGGCTAATTATTCTAGTATTTGGTTTTCTCTGTATCATCTTATATTCGTCGTTCGAGCCCTTATAATATATGTTGGTATGTTTTATTAAAAAAAAATGTCTAAGTTTGATTCTAGGGATTGCTTGTTCTGCTATCAATCTTGCGTCCCCATCCCTAAGTTTGATTCAAAATTAATTAAATTAATTGAATGACTACCCAAATGACATTAGCATATTATTTATACATTAAGAGCTATCTAATGTACATAGTACAATTTTTGTACAAGATAGTTGTATCAAATATATAATATAAAACATATTATACATAATAACAAATTGGTTAATTCAACCAATTAATTTAATGAATCAAAGTATTGGTTTGGTTGATTAGATAATTCACCCACATTATAATTCAATTTGAAATTAATCAAATTATTAAATAAGTTTATTCTTTTTGTTATATAATCATCAAAGAACATCACCAATAAAAGCTAATTATTTAAAATATTAAGTATACTCAAATGCTCCTTTTTTTTATCTCTTATTTATTTAGTTTTTTTTTTGAGTACTTATTTCTTTAGTTATTATTTAGTAAATTTGGAAAGTAAATGAAAAAAAGATATTGATGATGGTTCAAAATATTTTTATTTTAATTTTTTTTAAAAAATTTCCTAATATATCATTGATTATATTATTTTGGCTCAAGTGTCAAATTGCACCATGAACCAATTGCGATATGTCATGCCGCACCTTGATCTTTTATAAGTGATAATTTGATGCATAAACTAAAAATTTTTGTCCATCTAGTCTTTTTTACAGGTTTCCCTGTTGCCTTAATGACATGGCATCGGTAATCGCTGATGTGGACTTGTTTTTCTCTTAAGCTTTTACTTGGTCAAATAAACTAATTAGCTGTCTTCTATCCATCCTTGCCGTCGGCTTACCAGAGCTTCAGGTTCAACATCGCGACCAACAAACTATGCCAAAGACAAGCTATCTTGGGGGGTTCAGTACGACCACAGATCTGGGCAATTTTTTCCACCACCCAGACCTTAGTTCAAACCTAAGAAGTAGAGAAAGGAATAATAAGGGTAACATAGAGATGAGATTTCTTGAAAGGGTGGTTGCCACTCTCTGATTTGCCAATGATTTCTCAATTTTCGCCAAAAAGGAATCAACAGCCCTTTCATTCTTCTCCCAAATTGGAGAAAATGCAAGAGAACAAAAGAGCATGAAATTAGATCTTTCGTATCTCAAGGCATGTTTGGTTCTGAATTCCTTGTATTTTTCTTGGATATTATGCTTTAATTTCTGTGATTACTGGGAAATTAAGGATGTAGCTTGTTTGTATGTTTGCGATTGAGATAGACCGAGCCCGTATCTTGGCGGGGCGACCCTGATCTGCACCCCGGTTGTTCGCAGCCATGGCGGCATTGGCTTCTCTTTTGCGCCAACGAAACACAGACCTAAGCTAAGTATTCTCCGATTTCTCTCCACTCTCACCACCGCTTGTTCTCCTTTGCCATTTCATTTCCCATCTTTTTTTTCCTTTTTGACATCCTTTGAATATTGGAACTAGAAAACAGAATCTTTTGTATGTCACTTAATATCATAAACTGTGGGATTAAATGCATTAATATTTTATGGCAGCAGACATGTGGTGGATATGGCTAAGTGTTGCAATTCAACCTCTTATATTTTCTGTGTTTGCAATTCAAATCACCACTGCTGCATTTTTTTTTAATTTTAAAGAAAGAAGAATAAGAAGAAAATTCAGAATATTATTTTATTGTTCTAGCTTCAAGATTCTGATGTCCTTTCCTCCAACACTCCAGCGTAGCAGGCGTAGAAGAAGTAGCAGGTCGGCAGTCTGGGTGGAAGGCAGCAGCGGCAACCGGTTGTGGTGGCGTCAAGCAGAGTAGATCGGAGGCAGTGGCGGGATGCTCGACTCCATGGTTCCTCTCCTCGTCGACGGCGGCAGCTGGAAGCAGAGCAGGCTAGCAACTTCCGGCGGTTGCGGAACTCGGCAGTGGCGCGGTTGGACTTCTCCTCTGGCCTTCCTCTTCAGACGTCGAATGAATGGCTGGAAACTCATATTTTGGGTTATTCAATTAAACTGCTAAAATGGCTACCACATGTATAAAACAGAACACGTCACTGCCAAATCACTACGTTATTACCTATAACCTGAAGGTTACCTGTAAAAAAGGCTAAACGGACAAATATTTTTAGTTTGTGCATCAAATCATCACTTATGAAAGATCAGGGTGCGGTATGACATATCGCAATTGGTTCAAGGTGCGATTTGGCACTTGAGCCTATTATTTTCTTCTCTTATATACCAGCATTATTGTTAACTTTTCCTGTTAAAAATTTTAGTCCTCTAGTTTGAATAATCCGTTAATAGTTATTCCCCCTTAGGTTTTCAATCATCATCGACCTGCTGCATTTGATGCTGGAGAGGGAAGCCGGTCGAGTATTCGTCGACCTGGTGGTGTGCCCGTTTTCCCAGTCCATCAAATGGCACCAAAAAACATAGTTGACCTGGTAGGCTTTTGTAGTTTTGTCTCTGGCCATATATCTATTCTCCGGCGAACCTCTTTGGTTTTCGGCTACTTTTGTGATTTTAAACCTAGGTTTGTGTTTTTTTTATTCTTTCCCAATTTTGCGCGACGCACGGCGGTTCTCTGGTTTTGCCCAACGCAGTGATGCACGACAGACCTCCGGCCTCGCTCTACAGCCTCGCTCCAGATGCCCCTCAGCCGTAAGGTAATTTTTTATTTTTACACATTAAAATCAAAATGAATTTCGTACAGTATATGTCACCTGCCATTGATTTAAAAGTGCAAGTAACTGACGCAAGTTTTCAAGTAAAAAGTAAAATCACATACAAGTGCAACCATTTTCACTAAATAGTGCAAGTAATTTACCTTGTTAACATTGGTGCACCTAATGATAAGGTCTTAGACATTGATGCAGTTAATGATAACATTTGGTGCAACTAATGATAACATTTGGTGCAACTAATGATAACATTTGGTGCAACTAATGATAACATTTGGTGTAACTAATGATAACGTTTTGTGTACTTAATATTGATGGTCAATGTACATTATTTGTTGCACTTTTAATACATTTTATTTTCACTTTAATACATTTTATTTGCACTTAGGTGCACTATATGAAATTATTACGTGCACTTCAATGTTCAATTACTTACGAAAATGTCACTGGGGATGGTTGCGAGTGGTTCTTATTTCTATCTTGGACATCCTGTTCTCACAGCAGAGAATTCAATGTTTATTGAAGAGAACTACATCAACTATATATACTAAGAGTACAACATGAAAGTAGGAAACTAACTGAGACTAAGCTGAAGAATAGTGTAACCACTCCTGAATAACCTCTCAGCTCAATACTCCCCCTCAAGCGGAAGAGGGACAAGGGACCACGCCCAGCTTGAATCGCAACTCATTGAACCAAGCAGACGAAAGATGTTTGCCAGCTGATCATGCGTTGACACGAAATTGACTTTAAGGGCACCAGAAGTGACTTTGTCCCGGACAAAGTGATAATCGACTTCAACATGTTTTGTGCGCGCGTGGAACACTGGATTGGAGCACATATAGGTAGCTCGTAGGTTGTCACACCAGAGTACCGGTACGGTAGGCGGAAGTAGACCGATCTCACGAAGGAGAGACCGTATCCAGGTGACTTCAGCAGCGACATCGGCTAACGCTTTGTACTCTACCTCGGTGGAAGACCGAGCTACCGTTCGTTGTTTGCGGGACCCCCACGATAGTAAATTCGAACCTAGGAACACCGCATGGCCACCTGTGGACTTCCGGTCAATAGGGCAACCGGCCCAGTCCGAGTTTGAAAAGGCGTGTATGATGGGAGCCGCCATGGGCGTGAGACGGAGACCAAGGTGCATGGTACCCTGCACATAGCGGAGAACACGTTTGAGAGCGACCCAATGAGTTTGCATGGGTTGGTGCATGAATTGGCACAACCGATTCACCGCAAAAGATAGGTTCGGGCGAGTGATCAGCAAGTACATGAGAGAGCCAACAAGTTGACGATAAGCAGTAGGATCATCTAGGGCAACGTTCGAGTCTGGATCAGCCTCTGATGTGACAGCCACCGGCGTGGTCAAGAGCTTGCAAGACTCCATTCCTGCCTTGCGTAACAACTCAGTGACGTAGCGTTGTTGTGACAATATTAGGCCTCCTGAAGCGTAACAGCCTCTATGCCCAAAAAATAATGAGGCATGCCAAGGTCTCTAATGCGAAATACACTGGTTAGCTTCGAAAGGACGCCCTCTACCATACCATGACTACTTCCCAACACGAGAATGTCGTCTACATAAATTAACAAGTAAACCCTTACATCACCAGAATCATAAATAAACAAAGAAATATTTGTCTTGGAGGTTCGGAACCCAATTTGAACCAGAAATTCGTGTAGCCGGGTGAACCAGGCGCGGGGGGCCTGCTTGAGACCATATAGAGAGCGCTCGAGCTTGCAGACATGATTCGGGAAAGTCGGATTCACATACCCAGGAGGCTGCCGCATATAGATGTCTTCACTCACACGCCCATTTAAAAAAGCGTTGTGAACGCCAAGTTATCGCATGGTCCACCTGTTTGAGACTGCAAAAGATAGGAGTAGGCGAACAGTTGTCAGTTTGACAACTGGGCTATACGTCTCAAGATAGTCTTTACCCGGAACTTGGTTGAACCCCTTTGCAACCAACCGAGCTTTATAACGCTCAATGGACCCGTCGGACTTCCTCTTGACCCGGAATACCCATTTGCACCTGATCACGTACATGTCACGTCGGGGCGGTACAAGACGCCAAGTTTGATTGTAGATTAGGGCATTAAACTCTACATCCATAGCATTGCGCCAATGTGTGGTTTTAACTGCTTGGCTGTGGCACATAGGCTCATTGTCATCCAGTGAGGCTACCAGTGCCCTTGGAGGCCGGCGTTGTGCCCCGGTGGTGGTACGCAACTGCATGACGTGGGTCCGAGTAGTCGGGCGCTGACGCCGCCGCCTGTCTGTTGATGTAGTAGAGGTGGACGGCTGGTATGAGGAAGTGGCAGCCGCCGCAGTTGACGACAAAGTGGGAGCGGCATTGCAGTGAGCAGGCTGGTCGTGACTTGGCGACGACCACGGTTCTGGCGGGGCTTGTGGTACGGGACACGCTGGAGATGGATGCCGGAGTTGAGAATTCAATGTTTATTGAAGAGAATTACAGCAACTATATATACTAAGAGTACACCATGAAAGTAGGAAACTAACTGAGACTAAGCTGAAGATTAGTGTAACCACTCTTGAATAACCTCTCAGCTCAATATATACGAATATGTTATAAAATGTTATATATATATATATATATATATATATATATATATATATATATATATATATATATATACTAGTATTTGTCCCGTGCGATGCACGGAAAATATGTTATAAAATATACCCCATATGAGGTTTATTCGTATATAAAATTTTTGTTATTTAATAATTATTATGTGTGAATTCCTATGATAAAATTATGAACATAAATATATTTACAATTAAAATAATATTTAAGGTGGGTGATTACTACAAATCTTAAACTATATTAAAATTTTAGTACATAGTATTTAATATTACAAATTTTTAAGAATTTAGTAAACTACAATAGTAATTGAATTACAATTTTAGAGTCACCACGGGTCAAAATGTTTAGACCTTTGAGATTTCTAACTCTAGATGTAGCAACATACAATTGACCTTTAAAGACCAAAATCACAATTTTAGTTCGAACATTGATTTTTTCTTCCAAATACTATCGAATTAAGTGTGTAATCAATAAAAGATGAGAACTAATAATTTGAGAATATAATCTTAATGTTACTAAGCCTACTTCACGTCAATTAAGTTGGAGAGTGTTGTTGGATAGTATCCGATGAATTCACGAATAACGCATCTGATCTTTATCTCTGTAGTCCTCAATATGCACATCAACAATCTTAAATATTAGGCCGCCTAGCTATGCAATATATTAATTTCAAACTTATGAACTTTGAAATTGCATGCAATAAAAAATATATTTTAAATATACTAAGGGTACATTATATATGTATGTAAGGTACTTCCAATATAAAAATAATGTATTTTTAATATATTAAAAATGTATTTGATATTCATGATCCATACAATTATGTGGACCATCGTTCACACAATAATTTGCCAGTAGAAATTGAAATATATATATATATATATATATATATATATATATATATATATATATATATATATATATATATATTAGAAACTGTCAGTGAAAATTATTATCATTATTATTATTGCAATTATTATTATAATTAACAATATTATTATAGTCTTGTGAAAATTAAATGTTGATTATCACCATTTAATTTTCACAAGACTGGCCATATGACTTTATTATATATAGGATAGGATAGGATAGGATGTATGTATGTATGTATGTATGTATGTATATATACATATATACATATACATATACATATATATATATATATATATATATATATATATATATATATATATATATGCAGTTGCAATTTATTGCCAAATCCATGATTGATTAAATGTTATTAGAAAAATTGATGAATGTTTTAAACATACTATTCCAATTAATGAATGATGAATAATTAAATATCTTGCTGAAATAGATTAGATCCTAAATTATTTACATGTGATATATATGTTACTAAAATTCAAAGTATATTTTGTGGTTCAGTTGAGAAAATATATTTTACAAGAAAATGAACTTTCTTTTTTATTATCACTTCTGGATTTTGGCAAGATGTCAGCTGCTCAACTTAAAAGTATGTCTTGTGATTTAGTTATGAAAAAAATACTATACAAGAAAATGTACTTTTAAACTAAAAAAATTACATCTTTAATCCCTGAGTTATAACTAATTTTTGATTCAGTCCCTAAGTTATGACCGTATCCGAGTTTAGTTTCTCAGTTATGAGCGAAGTGGCGAGTTTGGTCCCCAGTGTTAATATTCTATTTGCAACTAACGGAAAACTTAAAAATAATTTAATAATAGATGGTAAAATAGGATTTTAAAATTATAATCCCCTTCTTATGTTGAAATTCATTGCGCAACAATCATTCTTTTCTTCTTATACCTACAATCGAAGGTCTTTTTCTTTCCCAAGCTCTGAAATCTCAAATTCGTCCACTTCCAAGCTGCGAAATTCACATGTAAGTTGTTTCTCTATTTTATATGTTTAAATAAATAATCAATATTCTCCGTATTGATGAACTAATTTAGCCATTAATTATAGGATGTCATCTCTTAGTTGTGGTACTTCATCTTTACCCAAATTTGGGGATAATTTTCAATGTAAATGTGATAATTTATTACCCATCAAAATATCATGGAGTTATGCTAATCCAGGGAAAAGATACCAAGCTTGTTCACGTTATGGAGTAAATTTTTGTATTTGTCAAAAATTGTAATTCAAGTTGTTTTTTTTTTTTTAATAAATAGAATTGAAATATTGAAATTTGTTTTTTTTTTTTTTCCAGAACAACAGGAGTAGGGTTTCTTCACTGATTACATAAGCAACTTAGGGCTTTTGTCAATTTGAGAGAAAAATATTTTGGCTAAGTTTGTAAAAAGGGAAAATAGGGAAACAAGTTATATATATTACATACAAGTTTTATTAAGAAATTTACTTTTTTACACTCGGAATTAACTCTGTCAACACACCACTAGTGTGAGTGACCAAACTAGCCACTTCTCTCATAACCAAGAGACTAAAAATGGATACAATAATAACACAAGTACTGAGTCATCACTACGATTATAACTCAGGGACCAAACTCGTCATTTTTCCTTTAAACTATTTAGCCAAAATATTAAAAAAAATATCTAGTGTGGATCTTTACCCCCACTCAACACTTTAGCTTTGTTATTAAATGTTCTACACAGACTTAGTTCACTGGTTCAATAGTTAGTATTTAGAGCCAATTACAGTGATTTACATCCTCTTGAATGCTCTGTGGAGCCGGGGTTGAGAATTCAACCTTTTTAGGAAAGATATACTATATAGTTTGGGTCTTTATGGATGACAACGAGGCGATGCGGGGGCGGGGAATGGGGTCCCCGTCCCAGCCCCCACATTCATACCCTGATCCCCGACCATGCCCCATTCCCCAACAAGGAGGGGGAATATAATTATCTCCAATCCCCGTCCCGCAGGGATTTTTTCGGGACTGGAATTCTCCGTCCCAATTTGAAAAATAATTATGCACTTCCCAATTTTTAGTATACAAAATAAAATAGTATTTTATTTAAATTATATAATTAATTTATATATTTTTATATTCAATTAGGATAACATCCAATCATCTAAAAATACAATTAGTACAAAATAGTGAAATACTTAAAAACATTAAACAATACTTTAAAGATACAAATTGTTCAAATTTTAAGTTTTTAACCAAAATACCAATTATCTATACATAATAACTTTGAAAAAAAACCAAAAGTCAAAATTAATTATTAGTACATATAAATAAATAAATAAATAAATAAATAAATAAATAAATAAATATATATATATATATATATATATATATATATATATATATATATATATATATATATATATATATATACATGGAAGGGTTTAAGTACGAGTATAGGATTTCCGTGCGGTTATGCGGTTGACGCACCTTAAACATTAAAATGGTGCACCTTAAGCACACAAACCATGCACCTTAAGCACACACAAACAAAACACCTTAAGAACACAAACCACGCACCTTAAGCACACTACAAAGCACTTTAAGAACACAAACCACGCACCTAAAATTTTAAAATGACTCACCTTAAGTTTCACACAACTGACGCAAGCATACAAATCATGCACCTTAAGAAGAAAAATAACGCACATTAAGAAGGAAAACCACGTACCTTAAGGTTAAACAACTACTCACATTAAGCACAAACTCGCGCACTTTAAGTACAAAATCCACGCACCTTAATAAACACAAAAACCACGAACCTTAGAAAATCGCGCACCTTAAATTTTGTCTAGATGCAAAAATTACCAAATTGTAACAACGTTTTTTTTTTTTTTTTTTTTTTTTTTTTTAAATGATGGTAATCCT